TGCTAAAAACTATAAAATTATAATTCTGAACTCTTGATTTAAAAGCAGAACAGATTATACTTTAATGGCAAATTCTACAGCACAATGAATTAAGAGGTATTTAAAATATAACGTTGAATGGTATTCCTTAAAGTATTCTTAATGGACTACAAAAACACGAAGTGAAAAATACAATTATAGATTAAGGAGTCTTTGAAATCTTTTCTTTCAGAGGATTTTTTAAAAATTGTTTTTGTTTATTTTTTGTTTTTCAAATAACATTGTGTTCAAATGGAGTTGTACTTTGTGAATCACACTGTTCAAGTTTAAAATATTAAATAATGAAATCAGTATGCCTCAAAGATTTGAAATCTTTTAGGCAAGCACATTAGAAATATCTATATAATAAAAAAACTTAACAAACAAACAAAAAAGCAAACGAGCCCAAACTCCTTTGTAACTAAGAAAGATGATACACTTAGGGAACCACAGAATGAAAGAGCAAGCAGTATCTCATGCATGACGTCAATATATCTGACACTAATTAGTCATGGTTGCAGCATGGCAGTGATTTTAAGATCCTACCGCTGTTTTGCTTGGAAATCGTGTTATTGCTATAGCTGGTCAGATATTTTTCTTTTGATCATAGCATTGGACAGATGATGTGCACAACATGCAGATGATATAAATGCATCAGAACATGCCAGATAGAGTATGCTCCTATGGAAACAGCAGAAGATGTTACAAGCAGTGGACATTGACTGGAACAAGAATTTATGATGATTTTCTAGCCAGGGTTTTTTTCTATCTGGTCTATATTAACCATGTTGTCATTAATATATACTGTCCTTCTTTACAAAAGATATTATGATCAGTCAAATTTTTGAACTTGTGCAACTACTGTGTGTTTTTGTCAATTTAAGATTACTCTAGTATAGTTCAACTGTATCTTCAAACAGTTCAGAGACAAGACCTGGTGAAAAATACAGCAAGTAACTTACAGCACAGGGCTCCTCACTAAGATGCCATTGATAATATTTTATAGCCAACAGATCTGACAGTTTTTACATAAATCATTGATTATAACCAATAAAACCCTAACAATCTTTATTCATTTTATCTCTGCAATCACCTTCTCCTACGCATAATTCTGATCTGGAGGTCAAGTAAAGCAAGCAGTTGCCTGGTACAGTGTTTTCTGGTCAGAGTGAAGGACATTCCCATTCATTTTTTCACTTTAACGAAACAGTTCACATCTGTTGATTGTCAGGACCAACTTCAAAAGACTAACAATAACTTCCCACAATGGTACTAGGATGAGAAGGAAGAGTCTCAATGTTTGGATTCTTGTGCAGTGAATATTTCATTGACATTGATGTTAATTGGAATGTGTGCTAGGTTAACTTGAATAGACATTCCTTTTGTTACTGAGATGTAAATAGTTAAACTATTATATGAACTTGGAGGTGGCTTAGAAGTTACAGGAGAAAATATTTTATTTTGAACTCCCTTAGTTCTCAGAAGAGCTCAAGCTGGCTTAATCCTGCTGCATTATTAGAGTAGTTTGACACTCTAAGGCAAATAAATTGCCAGGAGCCTATTGGGATTTCTATTCACTTCCTGACGACCCCGGCAGTAATACCAACTACAGTTTTGGTATGCGTCACCAGCAGAAAGACTTGTACAGGCAGTTCTGCTTGACAGTGTTTCCAAAGCATAACCATCATCATGCAACAACAGCAAGTATTTTATAGGAACAGCTCTTAGTTACTTCACACTGATTTTGTCAATTGCTTTTGCTGGTTTTAGTAGCAGAATTCATAACATACATGATGAAGCTTAGGTACACTAGTACTTCACTGCTAAACTTCCTCTTCTGACAAAATTATGCAGGTTGGGGTCCTGTTGCAGTTCTTGTCATTTAACATGAAATAAGAATTTGCATCTAAGTATACTTATTTAACATAGTAATATTTGTATTTAATATGAAGTAATATTTGTAACAAATCTCATAATACTTCTTACAATGGGTACACAACATGTAAAAACATTGTGCATATTATTTAGCCATAGACTATGTTTTACAGTGGATATATAGTATATTATACAGTAAAAGTGGCACTCATAAATAAGCATCATCTGTTCTAGGTGATCTAAGTATGGTTCAGTATATACAGTGCATGTCTCATACACAGCTTTACCTATGGAGGACTTTGTGACTGGCTAAGGAAGTTTTGGACATGATGCTGGTGTTATCTCTGCTGTAAAAACACATTTGCTTTCTAGATAGAGTATGGAGAGGGAAACAAAGAACTTCATTTTTACCTTATCTTGATATAAGCTTACCTTCACAATCGTTCTGAGCTTGCTGATGTCCTTCTACACAAAGGATTTAACTTTACTAATACAGTCTGGAGCACATGTGTGATTTCTGATGCCATAATGAGCTGAATAATTCTGTCTTCAAAGCAGGGTTAAAATAACTTGAGGTAAAGAAACTACAAGGTTAGAAATTGAGTAGGAGCGTTTGAGAGTAGGCCTTCATTTCCGGCTTCAATACAGCCCAGGGTACCTTTCCTTCATAGAATACGATAGGCTGTGAAGAGCTATCTGCTTAGACATCTGTGCTACTGAGTGCCCCTGCTACTGTTTAAGGCTAAACTGCAATAGAATGTTTCCAAGTTTCAAAAATTGCATTCTTTGAGAAAGATGGTATGTCTTTATGGTATTGAAAGGCAGTATAATACAATATCTGTAAGAACATCAACTGAGATGCAGTAGGCAGTTATATTGGAGGGATTGGCTTTACAACCCTATTAATATTTATGCAAACAATGCTTATTATGTGTAACGTTCATATTAACTGAGGGTCACATTGAATCTTTTTAACTATGAGATGCCTGTGTAGGTTGTGAGGACTCTGCCTAACCTAGAATAATGGCATGTTCCCTTTGAGTGATTTGGCACAAGAATGAAGTGGTCTGAACAGTCTGAAGAAGGCAGAGGTGGGAGGAAGGAAGCTCATTGTATGGTTATAATTGTGTATTTAAACAATAGCTGGATTGGACTGTGAAACAGTAGCTGCATTCTACTATAAAGACAGGAGTGTATTTCTCACGTTGAATATGCTTCTCTTCTAAAAAGCCTACAAGCTACTTTCATAGGTTTTGGCTATGCCTTTAGTACCTATAGTCTGGAGGAAAAGCTGTTGGATAGCCTCCTCTTTCTCTTTCTTGTGAAAAGGATTAAAACTGAAAAAAGGCCCAAACTATGTATTTTAACCTTTAGCTGCTTACAATCAAGCAATAAAGACCCATTTAATACTCAACTCATTTGATACACTTTTTAAAGTGTTCTTCCCAGATAAAAGCTGTGTAAAATGACAGCTAAAAATATTGATTTCTAAACTGACCATTCTGAATGGTTTAAGGAGTAGTTTGAATTACTTTTAGGCTGTTACTGAAGTCAAAAACCTAATTTTAAATTAAGAACACATGGCTTAAGTATACCCTGCAGTAAAAAATCAAGCAATATTCATTCTGTATTCAAAACTTAACAACTAATTTTTATGAGGTGGCTGCCCTCTGAAAATTATTTTGGAAAAAATTTAAATCTTAATTGAACACTTAATTTGCTCACAGTACTTAAATTTCTGGGGCCTGGGTTCTGGTTCAGTCAACAACCTAATCGGCACTTTCATTGGCAGCTATGTTTGTTACAGACTGCAAATAAAGATTTGGTGAAATTATAAAGCATGAAACTGAAAGTGGTGTGGACATTCGGAGTCACTAACTCTCATTGCTTATTACTAGCTTAATAGGTTAGCTGTAATAAGCCCATTCACTAGCTGTTTTCTTTTTTCTTTTTCTATTGAATATTTGCAGATTAGAATTTATTAAAATTTTACTAGTACAGGGGAGGGAAGGTGCAAAGATTCATGTGTAAGAGGGTAAATAATGAATACAATCAAGCTAACCTCTGCTTCAAAAACTTATGGAAAGAGAAGCTGCATACCTAAAGATGTTGATTTGTGTATATTTCTGCAGTTGTAACATTTGTGGCTTATAGTTACAGCAACAGTACTGTCCATATATCCATAAATGTGTACTCTTTTTTTAATTCTGCTCATCAAAATATTTCAGAGAGCTATTTCTGTCTAATTTATCAGATATTTAGATCCAAAATGTTTGAACAAATTCTTTCTGCTTCACATATCACAAACAGGCAATGAGAAAAAAAAAAACCACAAAACACCTGAACATATAACCAAGAAAATCAGAAGATATTCTCCAGTCTTTAGGATGCTAAAGTTCATTATTACAGCTCTTTAGATTTTTTACTTTCTTCTCTACATTTCTTTATGTTTCTTTATGTTTTCTTTATGTTACAAAAAGGGAAAGTAGTGTTATCAGTTAAATACTGCCAAAAAACGTTTCTGTAATACTTTAATTTTTTTTTATCTCTCACCTGGGAAAAAAAGTTGAAATTTAGATTTTTCTTTTTCAACAGAATGCTGAATTGAAATTCTTTGATAATACTCTGGATTCTTTAGTTGGAAACCAGAGTCATTCATCACTATGATCTGTCAGTATAAGGACTTTTTGGATGCAGCATACTACGCATCTAAAACACAGGTTTGCAACGAAATGTAGCTAATTTTTCAGTAAAAGGAAATCATAGAGCTCACTCTGTTGTCTTATGAAAATGCCAGGATGTCCTACACATTTTGCAAAAGGAATGTTTGATTTTGAAATGTTCCATTCACTTAAATTTTAGAAGGTGTGAGATTTTTCAATGAGTGTGGTGTCACCACTAAATGCACAGATGACTTAACACTTGATCCAGAAGAATAGTGAAGATTGATTCAGCTGTTCTTCCTATGGAATTCACTGATAATTACATTTCATTCCTGTCCTTCACTGTTTGCCAGATGAGGGTGTAAAATGAAAAGATCAGCAATACTTCCATATATTTCTGTATTCAATATGGATGTGGCTGATCTCTTTTTCATTTTCTTCTAGGCCTTTTCTGGAAACACAAATGCAGACAGTGTCGTATACTTTAAGCTTCAGCACTCCATTAAAGCAAGATTCCTCCGTTTTGTGCCTTTGGACTGGAATCCGAACGGCAGAATTGGAATGCGCATTGAAGTGTATGGATGCACATACAGTAAGTGTTTTGCTGAATCAGCTAAATGAAATGACTATTAATTTTTGTCTTTTACTACCTAAATAACATTTGAAAGTAGATTTCTAAGCTTAAATTTAATATTGAATAAAACTGATTCAATAAGTTTATGTGCAGACTTCACTATTTCTGCATCATTTAACAATATGCGATGCTTATTTTCCAGTTCTTTCTGTGTTGGAATGAATAGTATGGACAGAATCCAATAACAGATTTACTGCAAACTCTTTTTCTGGTAGCATTAAAAACTGCATCTTAACATGGTATACTTTCTACCTGAATGGTGAAATGTGGAAAATGTTTACAGTTTTAAATATATATGGTCTTGGTCCTTAGCCAATAAAAGTACAAGTAGATAGACCCACAAATACACAATTGAAGGATACTTCAAAGTTGTTATATATTTAAGGGGTACTTTCAGAATAATTTTTTGTCATTAATAAAACATTAATAACAGATGGAAGCATTTGGAAGACAAATGCATTAGTGTTATGGTTGTGTTGATCTGCTGGACAATGCATATCTTCCTGTTGTCTTCCTGTTATAGTTCTTCATCCCTGGACTTTTTAAAAAATATTTGTCTTAACAAGTTCCTTACTGGTTTTTATTCTGCACATCTTTCATCCATGAGGGAAACAGAGTTTATTTGAAAAAAACTCTTTAATTGTTTGTTTTAAGTACTTTCATCTGTTGTTTTTTGTAGGATTCTATGCTTAAGTCATGCCTTACATGGCTGATCTCTTCTGAATGATCTCCATATATCTGTCTTCTATTTCCATTCATTAGTGTCTGACGTTAAACTGAACATCAGTAAACACATCTCTGGGCTTTCTGCCTTAAACTTGACTTTATAAAATGAGTAAAAGACCATGAACTAAGGCTATTGGAAATTTCAACCTGACTGCAGGAGATTAGATCACCTCAGAAACTAAGTGAACTGTCCCATCCCAGAGAACAGACAGCTCATGCCAGAAGGGTGTGAGAAGCTAAAAACACACAGAATTCCTCAGTGACATCTGCCTGGAGACTGGGAACATGACTTATGATTCTTAGAACAATCTAATGATACTGCTATAACAGAGAAATGTGGCCAAGATTCAACTTACACTCCACCGTTTTAAGTACCAGGACTACTAACAGTTAAAAATGGAGTCTGAACAGATGATGTTATCATTCCCAGCTGAAAGCTCATCTGAGCCTCCCATTTGAAATCTCATCTCTGTGGTACTTCATGAGAGTACATTCTTTCCTGTCTCTAAGCTTCACTGAAAGTCAATCAGCTTTGCTTCTTCCTAATCCTTTACCTTGTGCATTCAAAAATGTTTAAATCCTTACTCAAAGTCTTGTTCTCAAACATTTCCAGACTGAAGACCTCTCTTTTGCACATGCCTAAAATCTAGAGTTTAATTATTATATTCACTACTATAATTTTCTCTGTCACACCTTGCAAGGTACCCTATGGCTCTCTTCTGTGACATCCCTATTACCACACTGTCAATGGAAAGTGTCCATGTTACTAAAAATAATAAAACATATAGAATAAGCAGTTACACAGTTAAAATATTTTGTGTGTGGTCAGTAACTACTTCTGAGAAAGAGTATGTATTTTTCTGTATTTTACTTATTTGGTACAGGATTGATCCTATAGATAGCTTATGGAAACAAATAAATGATAACTATCTTCTAAGATTAAGTTGAATATAAAAGGAATATTTACTTCATCCATTATCCAGTCTAATGCAGTACATAAAGAACACGATAGTGTTAAAAATATGGAAACTTTTTTTTAAGGTGGTTAAGATTTTCTCTGTATTAATGATGTTGTGAGTTCTTGAAATACTCATTATTTCTATGTATAAATGCTTTTGTTCCAAATGAATTGCAGACGGTTTATCATCTCTTTATTTATTTTAAACATCTAGAATTACCATGTGCTTTTAGTAGTTCAATTCAGTGGTTACTGTTGAAGACAAATCAGCTCATTATAGTCTTATAGGTCTAAAATACATTTAACAATTTGAAAGATGAATTCTTTCTTGCCAATCTTTCCCTCCATTTTTCAGACATATGCAGAACATGTAGTTACAATAATTATGCCTGGCTCTTTCTAAATTGCTATGTACTTTTCCTGGGGGGACCAGAAAATAAAGAAAAGAAGAAATGCCAATGATACCTACTTTAACTTTGATTCACACTTTCCAGATTTCCCATTTCTCATTCTTCCCTTCAGAGAGATCTCACTGGGTCTTATATTGTAAGAGTAAGCAGGTCTCTTCCCATTTACGACCAAATATGTGGACTGTGTTCTGTATTCAAGTACAAATGCAGTAATTTCTTGCTTCAGTCTTATCTGTTGCAAATTACACAACTAAAACTAAAACTGCAAGAATATGTAAAGTTGATCTTACTGTTCCATAAAGTGATATGGAAAAATGCATGTCTGTTACATCCAAAATAAGTCATTACTATCTTAGTGAAGTAATACTTAGAAGACAACTGTTGGCACTACTTTACCATTGCTGCTCTGTGTAACTGAATAACTTGGCCTAATATCCTCAGAACTAACATTTAATTTCAGTCTCAACAAGGTTTGGTAATGTCCATGATAGATGTCCATAGGCTAAACCAGGTTATTATGTGTTTTGTTTCCTTTTTTTTTTACACAGAAATCCTTTTTTACTGTAAACCTTTTAGGCCAAGGACTGTCACATTTTTGTATGTTTGTAAAGCATGCATCCAGAACATTTCCTGCCATTTTTTTCTCTTCACACTTATGGAATAGAAAGACTAAATAAGGGTAGTCAGTTATGGAGTTATATGAAACATTAAAAGAATTCCCCTGTATTCTTTGTGTTTAATTATTCTCCTTCCTCACACTGCTACCTCTGCCATGTTCCTCAGTTTTCTTACTCCTATTCTACAGTCTTTTTCATGTAAGAAAGAAAGAAAGATGTTTTCTACCTCCAAGTAAACTACCTGGCTTCATGTGGACTGATGAAATCTGCTTATGCCATGACTACAGAACAAACACTCTGTGCTGCCAAAAAAACCCCCACCCCAAAATCTCTCTAGTCTCTGCCTGATAGTTCTTCCTATTTAGTCTGTGCAAAAGAGACTGATGAATCTCTACTGACATTTCCTGTGTCTTGTTCCTGAAATGTCAGATTGTGACAATTAAGCCATGTAAATCAGAGTTCAAGTTAAGCTATCCTCTGGCACTAAAAATGGGAAATTACAAATCTCTTTGGCTTACTCTTTTCTCCCTTCATTACAACGCTGTCTTTCTCATTCCATCCTCTGAAAAACAGTAGGCTAAAAATAAAAAAAAAAAAAAAGCTTTTTCATGAGACAGAAACATGGCTTTAAATATGAAAATGACAATTGTGTAAAATTGTAGGAGAAAAATAACTGGGAACTAAATTCACGTTGTACATTAAAACATCATGAGATGCAGTGCCTAACAACAAACACTGCAGATATTGCGATATGCAAACCCTCTTCCAGAGTCCTCTAACACTGTTAAATGTGTTGAGGCTTTTTGAACATTCCCTTCCTGGCTGGAATGCATAAAATCAATGGCACAGTTACATCAGTCAAAGGACTTACTTCCCACCCTCTTCATAACTGGGATAATGCACTTTCACGGGCTTGATGTGAATGTGATTCAAAAAAGTCCATTTTAAATGTGGTTGATTATGAACATTTTTAACATGCCACAATTTTTTTTTTTCCAAAGGCTTTGTTTAAAGCAAGACCTAAGTCCGAGTTACTTAACTGTTTTGAACACTGTGAACATTTTCAGTCTGCTTTCCCCAAAACTGGAAAGGACCCAAGAGCATATTTCTCATTTTAATACAATTGGTCAGGACTAAGGATATCTAAAACGAATAAGAAAAGCCAAACAGTTTGCATTGGTTTAAGTTTTTTCCTTATAGAGAATTAGCATTAACTTTAATTAATTTAAAGATCAACAAAAATCAGATCATTTTTCAAACAAAGTTATTGCAACTAAAACTTTTGCTCAGGATGACTAGAACTCTTGATCCTATGGTGTGTGAGGAGGCTTCCAGAATTTCCAGTTTCTCAGAGGCATTTCATCACTTCCAAAGGTATTTTCACAGTATACTAAGGATTTGGATTACATTAATTTGGGAAAGACACATTGTAAATTGTGAAAACAAAAGAAGAGTGTTCACAAAGCAAACCAACCTTTTTTATTTTCCTTATTTATAAGAGTAGAGTAGAGAAAACCCATGGAGACTGATGTTCAAGTCCATGGACTATTAGAAGCTGAGAGTAGTTGGTAAATACAAAACAGGAAAATGTTATGGCACCCTGGGTATTTGAGCTCATTCTCTCTATCCTGATAACCCTGTAGGAAATGCAAGCTTTATCTCTCACAACTTTTTCAATTTATTTCTAGTGGTAATGCACAGATGGTGAAGACAAAACATGTGTGAGAAATGATATAAGAATTTTGATTAACATCTGCAGCCCTTTCACAATCTTCATTCATGCGTGGTGGTGCGGAGAAGGTTTCATTTTGTTTATTTTCCAAATTTGGACAGAGTAGATCTCGCTTCTTAGGACAGCGCTGCAGAATAATGAAAGGGATTTTGGAGAGCAGTGCCAAATTTTGTTTATGCTCTTGTCTCGATAACTAATAACAAGAGTATGTTCCCAACCAAAAAATCCTGCTGTTATCAGTACCTGCTAATAATATATCTATATATATATAGATAAGAATATATCTATATATATGGTTTGATAGATACATAACAATGTACAAGTTCTATTATCGAAGTTTTTATTGAGCTTATTAAACTTCAACATTCATTATTTAAATTTAACATTGATTAATGCTTTTACTGTCCACATTTATTCAATGACATAATGAAGTAAAATAGTCAACCTAGGGTTCATTTTTAGGTGGAATGTCATGTTTATTCATTGTATATTTGGTCAATTAATTCTTCATAAGTAAGAATTGCATTACCCAGATGTGAAGGAAATCAAGAAACTATGTTTGAAACCATAACTGCATTCACTTGACAAGAGTTTTTGAAAATGGAATATAAATGACGGAATTTAAGTGCTATAGTTAATTTGAATTGAGTTCATTTCCATGCCAACAATGTGGAGAAATATTTTTAGGGAAATTAAATAAAGTTAGTAAATATATAACAGGTTTCCGTTGACTTGCAAGAAGTCAACCAGTCAGTTGAAAAATATCTTCATATTTTATTGAGTGTCCTTTACATCTTCATTTATTTCACAAATGTATCTTTCAAGGGTAATTAACTTTTTCTTCTTTACTTATGAACTGTGAATGCTCTATGAGCTTTTTATAGTGTTATCAGTTCCTTTGTGTGGGTCTGGTTTGATCTGTACTGATTTTGACAGATATTCTTTTATATTATTGGAATAAAATCAGTTGGTCCTTTTCTTTTTCCTTTCCTTGCCCTGCCTTACCTTGCCTTACCTTGCATTGCCTTTTTTTGCCTTGCCTTGCCTTGCCTTATCTTTTCCCCAAGTAAAGCAAAAGTATGCGACCTTGAAATAAATTAGGTAAACCACTGTCATAAATAGAAAGCAGATTTCACTGGAGCACTGTCATGGAGCTATAACACTGTACCTACCTTTTAGCACAGTCATGAGAAGCATCAATGTAAGTGAGTAAGACAGAAAGCATACATTCATAATGTAATAATGAAAATTCATCAGTATTACCCTTTTCTTCATCTGTAAAACTTAGGAGTTTATTATTTTGTCTGTTATAGCACAGAATCAAGCAGGTCGCGGGACGTGATTCTCCCCCTCTACTCCACTCTCATGAGACCCACCTGGAATACCGCATCCAGCTCTGGGTTCCCCAGCACAAGAAAGATGTGGACCTGTTGGAGTGGGTCCAGAGGAGGGCCACGAAAGTGACCAGAGAGCTGGAACACCTCTCCTATGAAGAAAGGCTGAGAGACTTGAGGTTGTTCAGCTCTGCAGAGACTTTATTGTGGCCTTTCAATACTTAAAGGGGGCTTATAATAAAGATGGAGAGTTTTTTCCAGGGCCTGTAGTGACAGGTTTTAAACTGAAAGAGGGTAGTTTTGGACTGGACATAAGGAATAATTGTTTTTCTTTTTAAAATGATAAAGGTGGTGAGACACTGGAACAGGTTGCCTTTAGAAGCTGTGAATGTCCCCTCATTGGAAGTGCTCAAGGTCAGGTTGTATGGGGCTTTGAGCAACATGATCTAGTGAAAGGTGGCCCTGCCCATGGCAGGGGCATTGGAACTAGATGATCTTTAAAAGTCCCTTCCAACCCAAACTATTGTATAATTCTGTACTATGCAGGTGACCCTTGAGGTATGACCCTAACTCTCCCCATTGCAGGTGTTGGAGGCCCCCCTATCTGCCTGTCTGACCTGTTTTCTAGGGAGGTTTGCTGCTTGTTAGGGACTTGGATTCAGGACACTGTGGAGAGACTGTTGAGGCTTGTCCAGCCTTCAGACTATCCCCCTCTGCTGCTCTTCCATGTGGGCACTAACAGTACTGACAGGGGAGACCTGTTGTCTATCAAGCTTGACTACATTGCTCCAGGGGCAAGGGGCAAGGGCATAGGGTCTCAGCTGGCATTTTCCTAGTTCCTGCTGACAAAAGGGAGGTGCTTGAGGAGGACTGGGTGGATCTTTTGGATCAACAACTTATTGCACAGCTGATGTCAGCAGCAATTATTCAGATTTAACAACCTTAGGACACTCTGAGGATTGAGAGTTGCTAGGAAGAGACAGAATTCATCCAAACATTTAGGGCAAAAGCATCTTTTTCAACAGGCTGTCCAACCTGGTGAGAAGAGCTCTAAACTAGGAATGATGGAGGAGGGAGATGATGCCCCAAAATCAAGTGAGTGAGTGGTGGACTGGTTTGAGAAACAAAAGCTTCAGAGCAGTGTGGATAAGAGATACCATTGAAACAACAAACCAGGGCTGAAGTGCAAGCACTTGACCATCTCAAGTGCAAACACACAAATAGGGAAGTGCTGCTGTGAGGGCAACATGAAAGTTCTCAAACTTTTTTCTGAGAAATCAACACAAGTAGATGCCTTTCTGAAGAGCCTGTGTGCTAATGCACACAACAAGGGGAACACACAGAAGAAATTGAGGTCTTCATACATTTGAAAGATGACAATCTCATCACAACCGTAGACATATTGTAGAATAGCTCACACAACTGGAGTGGTGCCATAGGTGAACACAGGCTATTTAGAAAGGACTAGCCAGGATGATGAGGAAAGGCAGTTAACATTTATGTAAGCAAGCAGCAGGGATGCATGGAGCTTTGCCTGGGGACAGATGATAAAACAGCTCAGAGTTTATAGATTAGGATTAGAGGACAGAACAAAGGTAGTGACATTGTGGTGGATGTCTTTGCTGGTAAGACTTGCCTTCAGGAATCTCAGGTCTCTGAGACCCATAGGAAAGACTGGAGCAAGGGAGACTCTCAGTGGAGGAGGGTCAGGCTATGCAACATTTGAACAAGTTGTACATATGTAAGTCCGTGGACCTATTGAGATGTACCTGAGAGTGCTGAGGGGACTGGTCATGGTCATTCTGCGGCCACATTCGTTTATCTTTGAAAGGTAGTGGCAATTGGGAGTGGTTCCTAAAGATTAGAAGAGAGCAAATGTCACTCCTATCTTCAACAAATGCAAGAAGGAATACCTGGGGAACTACAAACTGGTCAGACTCATTTCAGTCCCTGGGAAGGTGAAGGGCCAAACAATCCTAGAAACCATTTCCAAACATGTGAAGGATGAGGAGGTTATTGGAAACAGTCAGCATGGATTTATGAAATCATGTCTAAGCAAGCCAGTAGCCTTCTACGGTGATATAACTGGCTTGGTGAGTGAAAGGGAGTGTTTGATGTTGACTATCTTGAATTTAGCAAGAGTTTTGATGCTGTCTTCCATAACATCCTCATAGACAACTGATAAGTACAGGCTATTTAGGTGGACAATGAAGTGGACTGAAAACAGACTGAACTGCCTGGCTGAAGGAGTTGTAATCAGTTGTGCAAAGTCAAGCTGAGTCTATTCACTTGTGGTATATGCCATCGTTGATACTGGCTTCAGTGCTGTTTAACATTTTCATTAATGGTCTGGATGATGAGGCAGACTGTACATTCAGAAAATTTGCAGCCAATAAAAATTTGGAGGACTGATTGACACACCAGAGGGTTTTGATGCCATTTAGAGGGACCCAGACAGGCTGGAGAAATGGGCTGACAGGAATCTCATGCTGTTCAACAAAGGGAAGTGCAAGGTCTTGCACCTGTGGAGGAATAATCTTAGCAAGGGTTTACCAGCACACACTGGGAGCTGACTGTGGCTTTGAAGAAAAAGACATGAGGGTTCTGGTAGACACCAGGTTGACCATGAGCTGGCAACATGCCCTTGCAACACAGAAGGCTGACAACAACCTCAGCTGTTTTAGGAAGAGTGTTGCCAGCATGTCATGGAAGGTTAGTCTTCCCCTCTACTCAACAGTGGTAATAAGGCATAAGACTCAACTGGATTGTTGAGTCCAGTTCTGGGATCCCTATTACAAGAAAGACATGGACATACAGGAGTGAATCCAGCAAAAGGCCACAAATATGATTAAGGGTCTGGAGCATCTGCCATATGAGTAGAGGTTGAGAGACCTGGGCCTGGAGAGTAGAGGGCCTGGGGGGAATCTTACCCATGTGTATTATTAGCTCATGGGAAGGTGTAAAGAAGACGGAGCCAGGATCTTTTCAGTGGTGTCCAGTGACAGGACAAGAACCAATGGGCGTGAACTGAAATACAGGTTTTGTGTACTGTGAGGGTGGTTGAACACTAGCATGGGTTGCCTGTAGAGGTGTAGTCTCTATCCCTGGAAATAATCAAAACCTGACTGAACATGGCCCTACGAAACCTGCTGGAGCTGAACATACTTTGAGTGGGGAAGTGGGGAATTTGGACAGGATGCTCTCCAGAGGTACATGGCAACCTCAATCATTCTGTGATTCCGTACTTCTGAACTAGGCCCTACTTACAGCTGATGGATTTTCATTTTAGCATATTTTTATTGTTTTCCTAGAATACTATGCCATGGTATTATTTTGAACTACTCTACTGATATCAATTTTAATAGTGGCTTAAATCTACAGCCTGCATGAAGGCCCTGAAAATCAGTTAAATGTAACGGACATGATTTTTCTCTTCTTTATTTTGTTAATTGGAATTAATTGCAGGTAAATTAATAGAGATTTTCACGCTAAGAATACAGTAAGAACAGAAATGGTCAAAGTACTTCATGGCTCCTAAGCAAGGAAGACAAGGAAGACCGTGCGGCAGGAAGATTACTACTAGATTGGAACAGAAGCCAGATCTCTTCTGCTCAGCTTGCTTTATTATCTAGTGATAACATCATCATTAAAACAAGACAGTCTTAACATTTGGGGAAGAACAGGAATAGCAGAAATAAGCTACACTTTACTGGGCACAGGTGAATCTAGGGATGTCAGCTGTGGGACTTCATGTCATATTGAAATAACATGCAACTGTTTCTTTTAGATGTAGCATTATATATTATCTTTCATTTCTTTACTTCTAGGGTCCGAGGTGGTTGGCTTTGATGGGAAAAGTTGTCTAATTTACACATTTAATCAAAAACTCATGAGTGCACTGAAAGATGTGATTTCTCTGAAGTTTAAGACAATGCAAAGTGATGGAATTCTCCTCCACAGAGAAGGACAAAATGGAGACCACATCACCCTGGAATTAATTAAAGGGAAGCTGTCCCTACTCATTAATTTAGGTAACGGCTATGGTCTCATAAAGTCTAATATAGTTATTAGGTATTATCTGACTAAAACTTCTTTGAATTTGTTGAGTGGATTTTAAAGTATAGAGTATGATAAACTATCAGTATGTATTTGAATAATTATATTTTTATATGGAATTAATAGTTTTTATTTTCTTCTTTCAAGGTGATACTAAAACTCATCCTTCTAATGCCCAAATTAATATTACGCTGGGCAGCCTTTTGGATGATCAACACTGGCATTCTGTTGTCATTGAGCACTTTAACAATCAAGTAAACTTTACAGTGGATAAACACACTCATCATTTTTATGCAAAAGGAGAATTCAATTATTTGGACCTTGATTATGAGGTGTGAAAATTACCTTTCCTTTATTACACTTATTAACTTTGTTATGTAAATGCAGTGAAACAAGAAAAGGAGACAGAACTTAGGGAAGTTTGTAGTGCCTAAGACTTCAGGGATTTTCTGTCTCCTAAAGAAATGAATCAAAGAAAAAGAGATGTTCTTAGATTACTAATGCTCCACTAGACTTGCAAGTCAAAATTTTCAAAACACCATCTTTTTTTAATCTCAGAATTCATTATTTTAATATCTTTGTTTCAATAGTGCTGCAAATGTGGTAAACAGTATGTAAACATAAAGAATGAGTCCCAACTCAAAGTTATTATTTTATGACTTGATGAAAATTTCAATAAATCAGCATAAAACCATTTTAGAAATGTTTAGATTAAGACTTTTAAATTCCTGTTAAATCTGGAAAATGTACTGTGAAGAAATCTTGCTTACACAAATGGTAGATTCATGAAAAGGAGTAGATGTAATTTGCTCTGACAGTTTCCCACCTATGGTTAAAAATACCACTATTTCACAGCTGTAATGTGATGACTGGCTGCTTTATGTTTGCCCCTGTCCTGTTTGTTGGATGAGACAATGAGTGATAGAGCAGAGTGTCTGGAACCCGCAGATCTAAATTACTTTATTCTACTCATTTGCGTTTTTAAGCAGTAAGATTTCATGCTGTTCCATGTCTGCATTATCCAATTTCAAAAATATCATTCACAAGATTAAAGTCATGATTCTGCTTAAAATTTCTGAATCTAAGCTACAATGCCAGGGCTTGCAGGATCATATCAATTAAACAAAAAAAAAAAAAAAAAAAAAAAAAAAAAGAGAAGAGAAAAAAGGGAA